TGGGCTGTGGATTTTAACTTCCCTAGGAAGTGCTGTCCTCAAGGCATCTCTACTATTTTGAAATTACTATAATTTCTCTACTATTTTGAATGACTATAATATTGGCTATAATTATGACTAAAATATTTAAACAGTAATAAATATTTTCAAATATAGATGTTGGCCATTGAAAAAATTATTGCATTATATATTTAATAAAATTTTCTCACTTTTAAAATTCATAATATTATTTTACATTTGTATATTACTCTATTTAGAGCCACAAGCCTAGCATAGAATTTGAACTCCACCACTGATGTAATCCATCTTGGAAATATTAACCTCTCGTGCCTCAGTTTCATATTGTAAGGTTAGGATAAAAACAGTACCTGCCTCACAATTTTGTTATGAGGATTATATGATTTAATATAGGTAAGGTGATTAAAACAGTGTTTGGATCCCAGTAAGGGATATAGAATTATTTACTTTGTTATTTTTAAAACTCATTTGGGGAATATAGGAAAACGTGATATAAATCATAAACCTGCAGAGGGGATTTTCTACACAGTAGTGTTATGATAATCTCCCCTTGAAAAAGGATACTAAGATTCTCACTGTCTATGCTTAGATTTAACATCAATACAATATGAATCAGAGAAAACTTTTTATTGATCAGCATAAGATGGTTAGAAGAATGCTTTAATATCCAAGTAATAGCCGTTATGTTGAACTCTGTTCTTTAAATAAGACAAAGTAGTTGAAACAGTTGTAATTCTCTGATACTCTCATCGGTAGGCATAGGTAAAGTAAACCAATGAGAGCTAAGCTCCCGCTCTGCTGCAGCAGAGGGAGATGAACGGACTAGTAGGAAAGGGATTGCTCATGGAGGACATGGCTTGTGGTGTTAGAGAGCAAATAAGAAGTTGGGCTGTGGTCGGGGCTGGGACTGCTGCAGTACACAGTGCAATTGTGCTTTGAGACCTAACTTGCCCTTGATCACATCTATGAGAAATAGGCCCAGAAAGAGTTACTTATGGGCCAAAGGTAGCATTAACATTCTAAACACATCCAGTCATTTCCGTTCCAAGGAAGAATGCTCAGATAGATAGTTGTGAACATCTCTTATCTTGGGATCAATAATGGAAGAATAGAGGAGCCATTTGCTTCACTTCTCTTTTTTCTTTTTAAAATGCACTGTATCCAATGTGTCTGGCTTGAAGGCTATTAACTGGGTTGCATAATACTGGTGGGCTAGGGAGTTAGACAATACAGACTAGAAGTCATGCTACAGGTTTTTTTTTCCTTTAATTTTATAAAGCATATGCTAATGTGATACACATTTATCTCAAACATGTATCCCAAAACCTACTCATTATTTTATCTCCCAAGATTATTTCCTTTGTTCTTGATTAATATTATCGCTATGCACTGCTTTTCAAGGTCATAAATCTCTGTATTCCATTCAACTTCATCCTTTTCTAACTCTTCACATAAAATTTATTAGTTTAGACTATTATGTGTCAGACACTATTCTGGGAACTAGTTGTATTTTAGTGAAAAGAAATCAACAATAAAAACATTATCTGTCCTTATGGTGTTGACAGGAGACAAACTCACAAATAAACATATGATTTAGTGGAGGGTTATGATTTGTTATGTTTTGTCATTATTTTTATATCTTTTTATATAAAATGTGTTATATCATTTATATCATAAATAATTGTTTAGAAGTATCAGTAAAATATCTTGAATAGGAATGAAAAGATAACTTAAAATGAGTGGTATCATCAGAAAACATTATAGTGGACCAAGAAGGACCAAAAAAACCAAAAATATAATGTTGTTATTCATAGAAAATACCTTGAGCCTAGGAATATTTAATTAAGCAGACATTTTTCAGACATGCACTATGTATATTTTCATTAACTCCACAAATATTTCTTGCAAATCTTTTGGGCACTGGGACAAAATAGTAAACACCATATGTAAAGTCTTATGGAGTTTACATTCTAGTGGAGAAGACAGATGAATAAGAAGATGCCACACACCTACTTCCTAACTATTCTACTTCCTAGCTCTCCCAATCTGACCCCCATTCAATAAAACCTTTCTTACCAGTGCCCTGTTGTGGCCCTTTTCAACCACAGATTATTGTATCATCTGGTCTCCACTTCATCATCTGCATTGCCATAGTTATCCTTCTAAAGCATAGAGTTCATTGGAGCCCTCTGATACTAACCTTTTATGACTTCCTATCATCTTCCTTATGAGTTCATTTACATTCCAGCCCTGTGATTCTCCAATCCCATTTACTGCTTTAAAACCTGAGCAATATATCCTCTTAGCTGCAATTTCAGCTTTTAGCTTAAGAATCGCTCGTACTTCATTGAGAAAATATAAGCAACCACATAGGAGTGTTTTCATCTTCTTACCTCCATATTGTAACCCTATTTCCATAAAATAATATGTATCATATTCTTTTTTAGTCCTTTGCAGCCTGTCAATGGCAAATATTTCCACTTGTGCTTCCCTTAATTTTCAAGACCTTTGCACTTGAAGTAATTGTATCGTAAGTTTCTTCTTTTCTAGTGGGTTATTTCCACCTGTATACAATATGCTCGTTCATTTAAAACATCTATTCCCTGATTTTCCATTATTTTCCATTTCCCTAAAAATATTACTCCATTTTTCATAATATTGTTGTCTTAACCTGCTCTCTCCATTCTTCACCTACTACTTACCAATCAACCCACTCTAATCTGGCTTCCATTTCTGCTATTCATGGAAACCTCAGTCCATCTTCTCTCTTTTCTTTTCTTCTCTCCTGCCTCACTTCCTTTCTTTGTTTTGCCAAGGACATCAATAATAACCACATTACCAAATCTAATAAACCTTTCTGTACTCATCTTACCTCACTACTCAGGAGCATTCAGTATGACTCAGCCTGCATTCCTTGAAAACTTGACTGTCTAGACTACTTCTTCCTTTCCAGTCTCCTTGTTCTGGATGATCCTTCCCCTTTCACCTGAAATCATAATTATCCACACCCTCTCCCTGGGTGATTGCACTTAGTCACTGTGATTTAAATGTTAACAATTGAAAAACTAAAGAACTCCAGACTTATACATCTACTGCTTATTGTAACTGTCCGGTTGAATGCCTAGTAGGCATTTTAAGCTTGAATTTTACAAACCAGAACTTTTGTTTTTTTTCCCACTCCCTACTTGTTCTTCAAACAGTCTTCCCCATCCCAATAAGTGGTACCACCAAGCACCCAATTATGCAAACTCCAATACCTAGAAGTTATCCATGATTTCTTTATTTTTTTCCTCACCCTCCACCCCGTAGCATCCATTAGCATGTTCGAAAAATATTTTGAATCTCTCTGCTTCTTTCCATTTATACTGTTACTACCTTGTTTTAAGTCACACTCATACCTTTCCCGGACAATTGTGGCAGCTTCTTAACTGCTATCTTTGCTTCCTCTCTTATTCACGCCCATATTGCAGCCAGAGTAATCTTTATTAAAATATGCATCAGATCCTGTCACCCCCTTACTTAAAACTCTTCAATGGTTTCCCATTTCGTTGAAAATAAAGTCCAGAAACTTTTCTGCCAAGGCCCTGCATGATTTAGTTCCTGGATATCTCTTTGGAATTATTCCCTACTGTTCTTCCCTAACTGATTTCATTCTAGCCACACCATCCTCCTTTCTGTTCCTTGAATAAGTCAAACTCTTTTCTACTTCAGAACCTTTCAATCGATTCTCCTAACACTTGGAATCCTCTTTCTCTGGCTTTTTGCATAGGAGTTTTTCTTTGACTCTCAGCTCAAATGTCATTTCCTTAGAGAAGGTTTCTTTGCCTTTTATTCAAAACAGCGTATTGGTCTTGTGAGAATCTCTATAACAAAGGTTTTTTAGGGTCAAATACATTTTGATGGTTTTATATATATTATATTGCCTTTTTGGTATTCATATGCACAGTAGCACATTATAGCTTCATTAATTCATACATTCATTCATTTAGCTAACATTTATGAACACCTGCTATGTGCCCCAAATTATTCTAGGTGCTTGATATACATCAAATAGTAAAATAGACACAATTCTTAATTCATAAAGTTTACATTCTAGTGTATGAGACAAATAATAAACAATTAACATAATTCCAAACAAATTATGTAGTATAAAGAAGGTCATTCATACTACAGAAAAAGAGAGTTAGGTAAGTAGGATTGAGAGTGCCATGAGAGTTGGGGTATTCTGAGAATCATATTATGAAGAAACCAGCATCTGTCAAACTTATTAAACCATACAACACACATTATAACCTTGTGAAACTAATTTTGCAAGGAACACACTTTAGGAAATTATGATAAGCCTTCCTTTCATTCTCTCCTCCCCTATATTCATGTTATAAGTAGAAGCCTGAGTTCTAGAGAAGCCATCTAATTATCACTAAGTCACAAATCCTTTCTAGGAATTTAAGATATGATGTACGCTTTACAAAGTCGATTGTGAGGATTATGATAGAAACAATCAGTTGCATATCTAGCATGTTTGGCACTTGAAGCAAATTGTCTATATGACAAAATTACTTCCAGTAATAGTCATGAAATAGGACAAAAAAAATAATGGTTAGAAAAATCAGCAGACTTTCAAATTTTTCTTCTATTGAATTTTGTGTGTGTAATAATACCAATAAGAAGAGTAAATAAATATTACAGTACAAAAATGAGAAAGGTAATGGGTTAATACTTTTAAGTTACAATAATATTTTCTTTTTAAAAACATGCCCAAATAGGTGGTCTGTTACATATAACAATTATTAGGGATTGAATGTGTCCCCACCTGCCTCCCAGCCCCCAATTCATATGCTGAAACTCTAACTCCCATGTCACTATATTTAGAGTAAGAAAGTAATTAAGGTCAAATGAAGTCATAAGGATGGCGTTCTGATCTGATAGAATTTGTGTCTTTATAAGAAGAGACATCTTTTTTTTCCCTCTCTTTCCCCAAGGGCATATACAAAGGAAAGGCCGTGTGGGGAAATAATGAGAGGACAGCCATCTGCAAGCCAAGAAGAGAATCATCACTAGAAACCAAATTGGTTGGAACCTTGATCTTGAACTTCTTGCTTCCAGAATTATGAGAAAATAAATTGTTGTTTGAGCCACACAGTCTATTATATTTAGTTAGAGCAGTCTGAGGAGACTAATACATTGATAAACTGGTCTGTTACAATAATGAATATATTGTTTATACATTATATAAACAATTATGGTTTCTGTATCAGCCTTAGATTTCGCAAATTTGTCAATAGCTTTGTCAAAGTTGATTTTCTTTATATATTCCTATTTCATGGACTATATTAGCTAGATTTGTCAATCTATCCTACCCATAAAGACTGAAGAACACTTTTTAATTCAATTTAAAAGGTTTTTGTCACACAAAGCAACAAATATAAAACTAGAAAAAATTATAAATATGAATATAAATTTGAAGGAAATTACTAAAAATCCTGTTGTACTATATATTCCAGAAATTTTAAACACTGAGGAAAACTTCAACTTGCACCATGGAGTGAGAGAATCGAAGTAATTCAAGTGTTGTATTTCATCTTTTCCATCACTAGGTTGTCATTTATTTCAAGTTTTTTTTTTTTTTGTAATTTAACTTCTAAGTTCAGGGGTACATATGCAGGTTTGTTATATATGTAGACTTGTGTCATAGGGATTTGTTGTACAGATTACTTTATGACTTAGTTATTAAGTTCAATACCTATTAGTTATTTTTTTCTCATCCTCTCTTTCCTTGCACTCTCCACCTTCTGATAGGCCCAATTGTCTGTTGTTTCCCTCTGTGCTACTCATCATTTAGCACCCACTTGTAAGTGAGAACATACGATATTTGGTTTTCTGTTCCTGAATTGGTTTTCTAAGGATAATGGCCTCCAGCTCCATGATGCTTCTGCAAAGGGCATGATCTTATTCTTTCTTATGGCTACATAGTATTCCATGGTGTATATGTACCACATTTTCTTTATTCAATCTATCATTGATGGGAATTTAGGTTGATTCCATGCCTTTGCATTGTGAATAGTACTGCAATGAACATACGCATGCATGTGTCTTTATGACAGAATGATTTATATTCCTTTGGGTATATCCCAAGTATTGGGATTATGGGGTCTAATGATATTTCCATTTTTAGGTCTTTGAGGAATTGCCACACTGTTTTGCACAGTGGTTGAACTAATTTACATCCCCCAAAACAGTGCATAGGCATTCCTTTTTCTCTGTGACCTTGCTAGCACTTATTTATTCATTTTTGACTTTTTAATAATAGCTATTCTGAATGGTGAGAATCTTCTACTTAATTCAGGAATGTGTAGCTCCACAAGAGTAGTTCCCCAGCACCCAAAGAGAGCTTGAAGGATTCAAAACCATTATGAACTTCCTCTTAAAATAAACATATGTAGTTGTGTCTACATGCATCAGGGACTGACTAGATGACTGAGGATTCTTTGAATTAACTTTTATGAAAACTACAACATTTGTTAAAGAACAAGTAATTCAAATGTGCTGATTTGTAACTTAAATAATATGTTATTGAAAAATAAATAGTAACCTGTGCAATTATTTAGAACTTAGACTAATAGAAGCCTTTAGAGACAGGACTATTAGTGACATTGCTTAGAATTACTGGAATACTTTGATAATAAAAAGGAGATTAATTTTAAATTAGTTTTATCGTTGCTTTTAAATTTTCCACAGGCAATGCACCTCCTTATCCTATTGCTCTGCCCTAGGTAAGTCCCTGGAAATTGTAATAGTAGTTAATATTTGTTGAGTCATTCAGAGTTAATGCATGTTTAATCATTGTCATGAATAAATCAGCTAATCCCAAATGCCTTTCCAACATGTTTTATGGTGGCTTTTGTCCAAGGGTTTTTTTTTTTTTTTTTTTCCTCTTGATTTAGAAGACTTGGGGTTGACTGTTCAATTCCATTGAAAATACTAGATCAAAGCGAAAAGAACAAAGCCAGAGGCATCACATTACCAGGCTTCAAACTATACTACAAAGCTACAGTAACCAAAACAGCATGGTGCAAAACAGACATACAGACCAATGGAACAGAATAGATAACCCAGAAATAAAGCCACACACTTACAGTCATTTTATATTTGACTAAGTTGACAAAAATAAGCAATGGAGAAAGAACTCCCTATTCAATAAATGGTGCTGGGATAACTGGCTAGCCATGAGCATAATAAAGAAACTGAACACCTACCTTTTACTGTATACAAAAATTAACTCAAAATGGATTAAAGTTTCAAATGTAACGTCTCAAACTATAAGACTCTTAGGAGAAAATGTAGGAAACACCATTCTGGACAAAGACGTTGGGAAATAATTTAGGGCTAAGTCCTAAAAAGTAATTGCCACAAAAACAAAATTGACACGTGGAACCTAATTAAACTAAAGAACTTCTGCACAGCAAGAGAAACTAACAACAGAGTAAAAAGACAACCTAGAGAATGAGTAAAATATGCACAAACTTTGTATCTGACAAAGGTCTAATATGCAAAATCTATAAGGAAGTTAAGCAATTGAAAAAGTAAAATCAAACAACCTCATTAAAAAGTAGCCAAAGAATATGAACAGACAGTTCTCAAAAGAAGACATACAAGCAGGCAACAAGGAAATAATAAAATGCTCAACATTAGTAATCATCAGAAAAATGCAAATCAAAATCACAATGAGATACCATCTCACGCCATTCAGAATGGCTATTAATAAAAAGTCAAAAAACAGCCTGCTGGTGAGGCTGTGGAGAAAAGGGAATGTGTATACACTGTTGGTGGAAAAGAAAATTAGTTCAGTCACCGTGGAAAGCAATCTGGAGATTTCTCAAAACATTTAAAACAAAAGTACCTTTTGACCCAACAATCTCATTACTAGGTATATATCCAAAGGAAAACAAATCTTTCTACCAAAAAGACACGCACACTCACATGTTCATTGCAGCACTATTCATAATATCAAAAACATGGAATCAACCTAGGTGCCCGTCAATGGTAGATTAGATAAAGACAATGTAGTACATGTAACACCAAGGAATACTACACAGCCATAAAAAGGAATAAAGTCATGTTCTTTGCAGCAACATGGATGCAGTTGGAGACCACAATCCTAAGTGAATTAATGCAGGGACAGAAAACCAACTACTTCATGTTCTTGCCTATAAGTGGGAGCTAAATGTGGGGTACTCATGGACATAAAGATGGCAACAAATGACAGTGGGGACTACTGGAAGGGAGGTTTTTCCCCTGGAGGGTGGCAAGAGTTGAAAAACTAACTGTTGAGTGCTATGCTCATTTCCTGGGTGATGGGTTCAATCATACCCCAAACCTCAGCATCACATACTATACCCAGGTAACAAACTCGCGCATATACCCACCCTGAATCTAAAATAAAAGTTGAAATTATAAACTAACATAAAATATAAAAAAAGTAGATCAACAAGTTGAGTTGGGATTGTATGTGATGGAAGGGAAGAACACATGGGGTAAAGGCAAGTCTTCCGGGCTTATTTCCTATTTCTCTGAGCATGGGTACTTGCAGCTCCATTCCACTCTCTTCATGATGGTTTCCTCCACTATTGAATGATAACATCAAAATATATAATATTGGTAAAGGCAATCACATTGTTTTCCTATATTCTTTACATTATCATTATGGAAATACACTTACCACATACTTTTTGTTTATTTACAGTCATTTGGGAGAATTTGTCTGCTGTGAAATAGAATGATAAAAATTGTTTTACTCTCAGTACAGATGCTAGAGGAAATTCTTTCACTTTTCTGGCCTTATTTTTATCATGAAAAGAGAAGATATTTAATATTTTTTCTATATTTTATGTTATTTTAGTTGGTAAATATATAGATTTGGTAATTCAATTGTCCCTCATATCATATTACTGGAAGAAACCCTGACTGCAAGCATGCCAAAATGCCAATATCAGCCCATATTTTTCTAGCTTATTAACTGGTCTGTTCTACTCAGCTTCCTCTATCCTACAGGGCCCCATCTGCAGTTTTAACAGTATTGATGATTAATTTTACAAAGAGTAGTTTAAACTGCAAAGCAGAACCTGGAACTGAGCCCTAGAGGGCCCATATGCTCAGAGACTTCTCTAAAGCAGAGAAAGAAATGTTTTCTTGAAAATGTTTCTACTATCTTGGTGAAAGATAGTCTGGGAGCTCCTGCTCTAAGTGGTTTTGGAGGGCCATAGTAATAAGTCAGATGACTATAAACTTGCAATAAAAATGACCCAGTTTAGGCTCTCATAGTAACTGCATGTCAGATATCAGAAAAGTGGAGTGTTTCTCACACTCAAAAAGGGAGACCATTTTCCCTTCCATATAATTCCATATCATTTATATTTTTCATCTGGACCTCTTTTTTGTGCTGAATTTCTACTGTTACTGTATCACTATGCCTGGCAATAAGATATCTGCAATATCTTAGCAATATAGAAGAGCTCTGGATTTGAAATTTTTATTTATAACATTTATGAGTCATGATCTCAGAAATAGCTTATTTTTAGAAATTGTATTGTCTTCATTTGTAAAATCTGCCTTCTCAGGATGATTGTGAAGATGAAATAAGATGACATGTGTTAATGTATCTGGTGCAAAACATCAAATCAATGTAGAATCAGAAAGCCAATGTTAGGTAACAAGCATTCCCTAAGTCTGTAGTGTATCTGTATTCATAGCTGCCTGACTTATCATTCTTGAATTATTTGATATTTAAAGGTCAAATGGGGAAAATGTACCTATATGTGATAAAAAAGAGGCATCCCAAGTGTAGATTAGCTTGTATAGTTTAAACTTTCAAACATATTTACTTACATTAGTTAAAAGAAGGTAATTATATTTTAGGTGTTTCTCAAATTAATATGGACAAAATTATTTAATGTTAAATTTATTAAACACATTTAGAAAGAATTTATGTCATTCTATTTGCCTAATTTGTCTATTATTTCTAATCAAATGCAACATAATTATTTTTAAGAATAGAAAAAAGTGAGATGAATTGATTATAGACAATAATTAAAAATAGGATATAATGTGAGCATTAGTGATTATATTCTCAATTCTCC